GCTGGCGCCTTACTCTTTTGAGCCACAGGCACCGTCCTGCCCAGCTATTTTTAAACTTTTGCCAGGGCTGGGTGCAGTGGCTCATGCCTGTAATCCTAGCATTCTGGGAGTCTGAGGCGGGTGGATTGCCTGAGCTCAGGAATTTGAGACCAACCTAAGCCAAAGTGAGATCTCATCTCTAAAAAAAAATAGCTGGGCATTGTGGTGGGCACCTGTAGTCCCAGCTACTTGGGAGGCTGAGGCAAGAGAACCACTTGAGGCCAAGAGTTTGAGGTTGCTGTGAGCTATGATGCCATGGCATTCTACCAAGGGAGACAATGTGAGATACTGTCTCAAAAAAAAAAAAAAAACTTTTGGCAGATATAGAATCTTACTATGTTGCACAGGCTGGTGTGAAACTCCCAGTTTCAAGCAATCCTCCTGTGTCAGCCTCCCAAAGTGCTGGGATTACAGGTGTGAGCCATTGCACCTGCCAGGCTTGTCAATGTTTTTAATTAAAGATATATTATTTCAGGCCAGGCGCAGTGGCTCACGCCTGTAATCCTAGCACTCTGGGAGGCCAAGGCAGGTAGATCACCTGAGTTCATGAGTTTGAGACCAGCCTGAGTAAGAGCAAAGCCCCTTCTCTAAAAAAAAAATGCCAGGCCTGGGTGGCACCTGTGGCTAAGTGGGTAGGGTGCCAGCCCCATATACCAAAGGTGGCGGTTCAAACCCAGCCCCAGCCAAAACTGCAACAAAAAAATAGACGAGCATTGTGGAGGATGCCTGTAGTCTCAGCTACTTCGGAGGCTGAGGCAAGAGAATCGCTTAAGCCCAGGGGTTGTAGGTTACTGTGAGCTGTGAAACGATAGCACTCTACCTAGGGCAATAAAGTGAGACTCTGTCTCTAAAAAAAAAAAAAAAAAGTCAACAAAAAAATAAGTAGGCATTGTGGCAGGCACCTGTAGTCTCAGCTACTTGGGAGGCTGAGGCAAGAGAATTGCCAAGAGTTTAAGGTTGCTGTGGGCTGTGACTCCACAGCACTCTACGGAGGGTGAAATAGTGAGACACTCAAAAAAAGTTTGCCCTTGCTGATATCTCCCAGTCTAGGCGCTGGGTACCTGTCGCTTTTTGCTCTCCACATCCCCATGTGGTCTCTTGCTCCACCATTTTCTGCCTCCAGGGCAGGGACCACCCATATCTATGCTTCTCCAGACTGCACAGTGGGGTACCTCAGTGCTCTCTGGAACAAGCCCAGAATTCCCCATTCTCTCAGTCCTTTCTGAATCACCTGATGCAACACCCCCTCCCCCTTGGCCCAGGCATCTAATGAACCACCAAATCCTACCCATTCCCTTACCTGGAGCACACCCTCCACCCCACTCCATCTGTTTCTTCTGGTCACACTCCCACCCCAGAGTCTCCCCTCCTTCACTCTGTGCAGTTCCCAGAGTAATCTAAAGTCATAACTCTGCTTAAGGAGGCCCTTGCTGCTAACACATGTAGGCTCCACCTCCTGAGCAGAAGCCCAGTGCCCTGTCTGTGGGTCTGTAAGGCCCCAGCCTGCCTGTTCAGGCTCAGCTTCCACAGCCCACCCTGCTCTGGGCACCTCACCCAAAACAACAAAATGGAGCTAGTTTGGCTCTCACAAAACCACTCAAGTTATTATTCCCTGAGCCTGGAAGGATTTCCTTCCACCACCCCCATGTCACTCCTTCCTACCACCCATTTAGCAGTCCTACTGCTGTGGTTACTGTACCTAGTGAGGCTGAGTTCTGTGCCAGCTACAAGGCAAAGAGCTTTGTACACATTATCTCGGGTGGCCTTCACCAGAACCACATTCAATGGTCATTGTTCTCTCTGTTCTATAGCTGAGGGAACAAGGTATAGAGATGATAAACCTGCTGCAGATCACACAGGTAGGTCATACAGTTGGGTCTGGAAAGGTTTGGCATGGAAGACCAGGCTGTATCCCAGAGCCTGGAGTCAGACTGGGTTTCTCTGCCCAGGTGTGGTGTCCGGTGCTTAGCACTTTCCACAGGCTGTTGTGAGCTTCTGTAGTTTGTCTCCATGGCTGGGAGCTTCTCTGGAGAAGGAACCAGGTGGCCCATGTCTGGACCCCCAGGCAAGCCTCCCTAGCACAAGGCCTGGGATGGACGAAGCTGATTGAGAGTAGGGGAAACCTGCTTCTCTTTGTCCTCCCTGCTCTAGAGTTCCTTGTACCATGTACCTTCCACTGCTATCCTCCTGTAGACTCTGCTTGCTGAGGGCCACTCAAGGGCTGAGCAGGGTGGGGTCTGATCCTTGTGATTCCTGGCTTATAGTCAGGGAAGAAGAGGGGTTTCTTAGTTCTTACTGCATCCATTGTTCAGGACCCCAGCAATGCCTTGACCTGTGGAGCCTTGTTGCAGATACCGCCAGGGCCTGTGATCATTCTTGGCTTATGTCTATCCTACACTGGTCAGTCTCCCTCCTCTAATCTACTCTTATCTTGTTGTGTTTCTGTTCCTGCTGGGACATGGACCCTCTAGTTGTTACTGGGACATGGCAGCCATATAGCCTGGTTGTCTGGAACAGCCCCCATTTGTTCATGATGTTCCAGTGCAATTAATAATGTTTCCTTCTGGGGTGGCACCTGTGGCTCAAAGGGTAGGATGCTGGCCCCATATGCCAGAGGTGGTGGGTTCAAATCCAATCCTGGCCAAAAAAAACCCCCTGCAAATAATAATAATAATAATATTCCCTTCTACTCTGAAAAGTGTCCTAGTGGGACAATTACATTCGATGGTCACTCCACACCAGGGTCCACTGGCCCAGGTCTTCTTCCAGCCTGTCATTAACATGCTTATGGCCCTCAGCAGGCCATTTAACCTTTCTGGGACCTTGTTTTCCCATCTAAAAAATAGAGACCAGGCTCTTTGGAGTATCTCTGAGAGGCTCTAAGGGTCAGCCTTAGTTCAGTGATACCAGCCCTCTGGCCAAGGAGAGCATATAGGATATGGGGTATGAACTGACCTCTCGCTGTGTGGGGAATCATGCAGGGAATCTACAGAGTCGTGGTAGGGTAGCACAGCTGCCCTGTGCCGCTCCTCCAGGCTGTAGGCTGCTGCCCGCCGGGCCCGGGCCTCCACACAGGCTGGGCTGTTGCACTTGCTGGTGCCCACTGATGACAGCATGATGCCTGACTGGGAGTCGGAGGTCAGGCTCTCAGAACGTTCCAGGCTCCACGTGTGGCTCTCATGTCTGGGAAAGCCAGATAGGGGCAGGTGAGATGTCAGGAAGGGGCAGAGTGGCCCAGCAGGTATGGTCCCATGGCCACCCCTCCCTGGTTCTTCTTCCCATCTCAAGCTCCCTCAGTTCGCTGCCCTTGTCTGCTCTGGGCTGATGTAGAGTACTCCACTCTGATATTGGGAGAGGGAGGGCTGGGGTCTTGTGCCATGCCACAGCCCCTTCCTTTCCTTCCTGCAACCAGCCCTTCCCTAGCCTTGCCCCAGAGCACCTGTTTTGGACGCTGCCACCCCCACAGTCCTTTGCCACCCCTCTCAGGAGCCCAGCCCCAGTGGTCAATATGTGATGGCTCTGACTACTCCACAGTGCTCCCCAGGGAAGAAAGGAGCCAATCATGTTATTTCCTGAGCTGTATAAGCCTTTGTGCTGTGTGGAAAGGTCTCTCCAGTTCTGGAGAGAAGGCTAAGGTGGATTATGATTCATGTGGCAAACTCAGGAAAGGGTATTGAAAGGCTCTAGAAGTCTAAATAGTGAGGCATGTTATGCCAGGTAGAGTATAGGCATCTATAAGTTCCTGTGGGTCTTGGTGGTACCCACCTGTGGCTGGAGGTGGGTGTGGCTGTGGAACAATGGTGAGAAGGAGAACAGGAGTGGCTCCCGGAGAAGGTGGTCTCAGTTTCTCTCCTGATGACATGATCTGTCGCCGGCACGTTCTTGGAGATATACTGAAACAGAGAGTTGGGTGGGAGTTAGTGACAGGGGACCAGATTGGCTGACCCTCTTTTCTGTGAGAATGGAGAATTGATGTGCATTAAGCTCCAGGTTGGGGGTGTCCACTGGATGAGAAGTGACTTGATGTTGGGGCAGTGAGGGCACTAGCAAATCATCCCTCACCCTTTCTATGGAAGTGGGCAGAGCAAGGCCAGCCATCCTGGTGAGGCAATGTCCAGCAGGCAAGGCTGGTCATGGGATGGGCTGGCTGCTGCCCTAGCTCATCCTTTGCAGGGGCAAAAGAAGGCTGGCTGTCCACTGAGGGCTGAGAAGTGGGGTGGGAATACCACTCACGTCTGCCATCTGGATCTCCTCAGGGTCCAGCCGGGGGTGGCTGGGCCCATTGGCCAAGCTCCGGTTCTGGTGGGCTGGACACATGTTCTGCCGAAGGTGGTTGTGCATTTGCTTCCGCTGTTTTCTGCACAAGGAAAGGATGGGTAAGCTGGCATGCTCTCCCTCCACCCCCCAATGGATGAATTTGCCTGGCTGTCCCTCCAGGGAAACTACTTTGTCTCTGCCCCAGACTGTTGTGGCTACTGCTCTTCCCTGTGCTGAAGCTTCCCCTACACCATTGCTACTGTCCTGAATCCAGGACCTGAGCATCATCATGGTAATGAGCTTTGGCTCTGCCCAGGGAGTAGAAGTCCACTGGTTTCCAGCTGTGTAACCCTGGGCACATTACTTAAGCTCTCCATGTTTCACTTTCTTCATCTGTACAACAGGGGAATCATTTACCCATCTCAGAGACCGTTGGTAGTTAAAAGTATATAAAATATTCAAGCACAGTGCTGACTCACTTCCTCTTCCTTCCTTCATTCATTTGGTATTTACTGAGTTTTAACTTTGTTCCAGATACTGTTTTGGAGCATAAAAGACAGGCAGAACCCCCACCTTTATTGAAGTCTGGGGGCCAGTAGGGAAGGCAGATGATAAACACAAAAACAAAAAAATGAACTAGATACTTTGAGTAAAATGCTATGAAGAAAATAAAACAGGGTGCTGTGGGTAGGGAGCCAGGACCCATGGGAATACTTTACACTGGCACTTATTACTCAATTTGTTTTCTAATCAACAAATCTAATCACACCATTCCCTGTTTGAAACTCTTCTTTTCCCTCAGCGTCTCTTTTCCCTCCCTGTCCCTCTCTCTTGCTGTCCTCCCCACCCCAGCTCGCTGCATTCTCGGTGAGCTTATTTCGGGTCCTTCATAGTGGTCTGCCCTCTTTGCTGTCAGGGCCTCTGCATGTGCTGGTCCCTTCATCTAGATTACTTTCTTTTCCCTTCACCTGGCAACTCCTGCTAACTCCTGCTTATCCCTCGGGCCCTAGCCTAAATGCTGCTTTCTCAGGGAAACCCCTTCTGCCCTCCAGACTAGGTAACTTACTTCTGAAATGTGTTCCATGAAACTGGAATGCTTACTCAGAACAATAACTATATGTGTGGGGCAGAGCCTAGTGTCCAGCAGGCACTGAATGAATGATTTCTGAACATATGAGTAAACACAGTGGGATTTAGAATAGGGGCTTGCTTTTTCTTGAATTCTTGGACCAAATTTTTCCTCTTGGGTCCAGTTTCCTCCTTTGGGCTCTTTGAGCCCTACATCCTTCCTTCCCCTACTCTAGGCTTTCTGGTCCTGAACTCATCCAAGATAAGGCCAATAGGGCCTTAGGTTCCACAGATGGGGGCAACAAAAGTCAAGACCAGAGGCTCAGTCCCTGAAATGGTGGCTGTGTCCAGACTCCTGTTTTCCAGGTATGAACAGATGTGACAAACCTATCATCTTTTTGCACTTCACTCTACAGCCTTTATTGGGCTCCCACTGTCTGCAGGATAAATCTAGATTCCCTAGTTTGGCATTCAAGGCCCCATGCTGCCCTTTAAGACCCAGAGGACCATGGACTCATGCCCCTCTTTTTTCTGACCCCAGTCCCCACTCTGGGCTGCTCATGTCCCTGGAACACAGCTGATCCTCATTTATGTGGAATTTCGCTTGCATTATTTTACCTGAACAGGCCAGCTCTCTTTTCTGCCCATTTAGTCTCCTTGTCCTGAGGTTCTGTCCCAGCCTCTCCTCTGCTCTGACACCTTCTCTGTCCTCTTGTCTCAACTGGTCCCAAGCTGAGGTCAGGCTAGGGCCTTTTGAGGGGGTCTGTGTTTCCTCTGAGAAGGAATGAAGCCTTCTCTGTGCTTTCCTCTCTGCCCTGCCCCCACCCCCAACAGTGCCCCATGTGTCTGAGAGGGCACATGCTTATACTCAGGTCCTCACAGTCTCCTCTGGGGTGCATGCCAGGGTCACTCCTGTGAGGACTCAGAGCAGTTCATCAGTGTCCTTTAGGTCACATGGGAGGTAGATTTGAGTCCAGATTTCTCTTTTTCCAAAGTCTTTCTCTGTTGCCTGGGATAGAGCCCCACGGCCTCATCCTAGCTCACAGCAACTGCAAACTCCTGGGCTCAAGCCTCCCAAGTAGCTGGGACTATAGGTGCTGGCCACAACGCCTGGCTAATTTTTTCTATTTTTAGTAGAGATGGGATGTTGGGGTCTAACTTTGCTCAGGCTGGTCTCGAATTCCTGAGCTCAAGGGATCCTCCCACCTGATCTCCTAGAGTGCTAGGATTACAGGAGTGAGCCACCATGCCTGGTCCATGGCCAACCTTTGTTCAGCCCTCTGGGGCCTATGTTGCCACCTCTGCTTCTGCTCTTGGGTCTAGCCCATTGGCTTTACACCAGCTGCAGAGGTCCTTGCAGGGGAAGTTGGATGTAGGAGGGGCTGAGGCCAGGCACAGTGGAGTAGTAGGGGAGAGCCTATGTTCACATGACCACAGTCCCTTGGTGTAGCCTAGTCTCAGTCTGAGTGCCTGATACTCACTTGGTTTTGCAGTAGGCTACCACACAGACGATGCCCACAACCAGTAGAGCCACGCAGATGCCAGTGATAGTCAGGACCCTCTTCTGGTACAGCTCTTCAGCTTCTGCAGAGGCAGGGCAGACATGAGGGGCAGAGCCAGAGGCAGACCCCGTGGGGATAATGGTGCAGAATCCGCTCCCCCTAAACCTCGGGCTCTTTTCAGCTTGGGCCCTGCCCAGCTCCTGTCCAATTCTTTCCTCCCCCATTTGCCCCACCCCCGGATGCTCTGCATTGCTTTCCACTTCCCCTCCAACTCCCACCCACCCATGGATCTGGTCACACACAATTCCCCCTGAGTTCACCTTCCCAAGCCCCATGCCTGCCCAGAGCACATGAATGGAGGATGCAGGGGAAGAAGGGGGATGGAGTGAAGTTGAAACTCCTGAGGCTGTAGAGCAGGGGAGGGCAGCCCAGCTTGGTCAGCAATCCTGTCCTGCTCCACTGTGGCCTGGCATGGGCAAAGAACCTTGGTGGGCCAAGGGGAGTTTTCTTCAAGGCAGTAAACATGTAGCCCCTGGGCAAAGACCTGGCTCAGTCACCTCAGCTTCCCTAAGAAGGTGGAGAGTGGCTTGTTCTGGGCTGGTGACAGGACATCAGATCCAGGGCCAGGAGCAGGGACAGAGAAATCCAGGCCCATGGAAGGAGTGTGGGAGAAAGGCCTTTGTTTATCCCTGCAGCCTGGTCAGGGTGTGCCCCTGGTCCCTTCTAACCTTCCCATATCTGCTTGTGAGAACCCACCAGTGGCAGCACAGACCCCTGGAATCTAGGGCAGTCCTTGTGGACACCTCCTGCCCTTCCTGAGGAGCTGAGCTAGACTGGGCTTCAAAGTTTTCTGAAAGGCCTGACTATCCTCTCTACCCTCTACTGCTTGTTAGGGCAACCTCTACTTTCCTGAACACAGAATTCCAGAAGGAAGAAAAGAAAATAGGTGATAGTGCTAGCCATAGTCAAAGCTATAGCCCAGGGACCCTTCTGCCCACCTGCACCTGCTGGTTGGTCCTGTCACCTTGCCCCCTCCTCCCAGTTCAGGGATAAGTGGACTCCATGCCTTGGTGGAGCCCTGGAAAATGTCCCTAACCTGTTGGGCTTGTGGCATCTCCTGTGACAAAGATATACACACTAGCAAATGCCCAGGGGTACAGACCCTCTAGACCAGCGGTTCTCAACCTGTGGGTCATGACCCCTTTGTAACAATTAAAATACATTGTGGCATTAGGAAGGTTGAGAACCACTGCTCTAGACATACCTATATTTGTAACTGCTCACCCAGACTCCTAGACCCCTTCACAAAGAGACATTCTCACACAGTGTACCTGCACACACATACTCATGCCCACTGACACAGTCAGGTGGGCTCTTGCACAATTAGACCTCTGCCCTAGGTCCCCAGCTCTTGGCTCTGTGCCCACAGCCCTGACTTTAGTTCTTGTGCCAAGTCCTGGGGCCCACTGCTTCTTTCTCAGTTGGGTCCCTCCTTCTGGGGCCCATCCCCCATAAGCTTTTGGGTGTTTCTTCTCTCCTGGGGTTCCTCCTACTTCACTGGCTGACCTCAGGTTTCTTTCTTTTCACCACCCGCCCTCTCTCCCTTTGTGATCTCATTCAGACACAGACTTTACACACCATCTATATGCAGACACTCAAAGCTGTATCACCTGCTGACTTCTTCCTGCACTCCACATTCATGTACCCAAGGGCCGTGGCCAAACTGAATCACTGCTTCCCATCCTCTTTCCAAACTGCTCCCCTACTCCTTCCAGCTCATGAATATAACACTACCTTTCCTACTGCTAGGGCCCTTGATCAAGTGTCCTCAAATCAAACTATGGCCCATGGGCCACATGCGCCCCCCCCCCCCAAGGACATTTACCTGGCCCGCCAGGTGTTTTTGCTGCTGCTGCCTGTCCTGCTTAGCAGCTGACTCATCACGGGGCCTGCAGTCCAGCCCTCCAACAATCTGAGGGACAGTGAACTGGCCCCCTGTTTAAAAAGTTTGAGGACCCCTGCCCTAGATCTTGGAACCATTCTTGATTACTCCTTTTCTTCCCACCTACCCTGATACCTGATCCATCTGCAAGTTCTGTCAGATGGATCTGGATCTGACTGTGTCTTACATGCTTCCAACTCAATCCAAGGAGGTGACTGCCTCTTAGCTGGAGATGGTCATCTTCTGATGGGTCTTTCTGTTTTTACTCTTCTCTACCCTGGCCCTAGCCCCAGGCTACTGTCCACTCAAAGTTACCTTTATATTTATAAATGTATACTTTATACATTTGTGTATAAAGTAAATGTATACTTTAATATTTATAAATGTAGCTTTGGGTGTAAATGTATACTTTAATTTAAAGGAGATTATTTTACTACCCTGCTTAGAAACACTCAATAGCTTCCCACTGCAATTCAAATATAATCCAAAGCCTGCCATGGACTCTGGGGCCCCAGGTTATCTGGTCCCAGCCTTCCTTTTGCATCTCATCTGTGGTCCTCTCACCTGCGTCTGCTGTGCTCTGGAGTTGCTGGCAGTCTTTCTGAACAGAGCAAACTCACTCCGACCATAAGATCCCCATGCTTGCAGGGCCTCTGCTTTCCATAGTTCCCCTGTCATTTGCAGGCTGGCTGCTTTCCATCAAATCTTAGCCCAATGCCACCTGCTCAAATGGCCTTTCCATGAACACTGAGCTACAGTAGCCCCTCCTTCCTCTAGCACTATCCTATTACCTCATTTTACTTTCTGTACCACACTTGTGGCCACCTGACATCTTTCCTCTTTTTTTATTCTCTGTCTTACCTGTGTCTGTTCAGGAGGGCAGAGACTCTGTATTTGGTAAAGTCTGGTGTTCAGCAGATATTTGTTGCATGGGTGAGTGAGTTACAGACTATCTTTACAGACATCCCCACACCGTACACTCACACTCACCTCTGCACACAACAGTTTCAACTGCACAGTGCTCCACTGCCCTCCTCCCCCTGTATTCATACCCTGACCTGAGAGACCTCACAGGTATATACATTTTTATCCCCAACATTTATACACATATCTGAAGAGTCACCCCTGCCCTGCCACAATCACAGATCCTTCACAAATACCTGTCCTCTCATGCTGTACAGTCAGCAGATATACTCTTACACACAGACTTTAAGCTCTATATTCTACTGAGGACAGCAGATAGGGGCTAGGTAATGGGGAACTAGGGCCTCCCCAAACCAGCCATGAGAATAGCCTTTGTATAACTGCAGGCTCTGTACCATGTCTAAGATCCCACCCCCCAAAAGCTTCTGCCCTTTGAGCCCCTATGTCTCTCCCCCCATGTCTCATATGTAATATGTCTGGACACTTGAGGCCAGGGAGGAGCCTCTCAGCACAAACAGCTGGAAACACCAATTCCGCAAAGTCCCTTCCAGCCCAAGGAGTCTTCTAGGAACCAAAGTGCAGTAGCAGCAGGTGGCAGGGAGTGGGGGGGGGGCATGTTTAAGATTCTGAGCTGGGGACAAGGGGCAGGCAGTAGAGGCCAGCCCAATCCTGACCCTTGCTGGTCTTGACTACAGATGCACACATGTGCCATCATGGGGATGGATCATAGAGGGAGTGACAGCTTCAAGCAGATGGTAAAGCCTGGCAGACAGACACAAGGCAGGGGCAGAGACAGACGGGGAGTTATCAGCTACCAGCCTGGTGCAGCATGAAAGGTGATGGAAATGGAAATGGAGAAGAAAAGAGGATTAAAGTCAGATGGAAAGGGATGCCTCTCTGCATAATGCTCCAAATGCTCCCGTTGTTTCTGGACACTGGTCCTTTGAGAGACCATGTTCACGTATGGGGTCTGTCTCTTGTCTGGCTGCCTGCTGGGCTGGACACAGAAGGGGGCCCTGCTCTGTGAGGCCTCCTGGTAATAGATGTCCCCTATGCAACTGGGGGCCACAGTCTGACTCCTGGGGGTACCCTGCTATTCACAAGCTTCTCTTGTCTGCCCCCTGATCAATATAGTTTGTGATAGGACATCTTGATGGGGCTAGGGGGATTTTTGGAACCATCCCTTTTCCATTTTTTGGAAAGGAAACCAAACATTCAGCACACATGGTGTCAGAGACTGTGGAGAGGGACTGTGCAGATGGCGCTGAGTGAAACACAGAGGTTCCGTACCCTTTAATTCAAATCCAAGGTGCTCTGGCAGTGCAGAAGAGAGGTGGGTCGGAGAGGGAAGGGGTGGAGGGAGAGAGATACAGGTAGAGAGAAGTGGGAGGGGGCAGGGGAGAGAAAGATAGAAACGTTGGTCAGGACTCCTCAGACACCGGGCAGCCAGCCTGTGAGGTGAAAGCAGGTTAGTAGTGTCCCCTCCCAGCCTCCTGAGCTCCTTCCCTGGCTCCCAGTCCCCAAGGCCCCAAGAAGGGTAGAAAGAGGAAATGTTAGAATCAGCAGGCAGGGCAGGTTCTTTAGAGATGAACTGTGGGGTTAGTACCTAGTGAGGAGGCAGAGGCGCAAGAGTCAGTTGGCAGATGTTCCCCAAGAGGGAAGGGCAAGTGGGGGCAGGGTCTGTGGAGCCCCCTTCTCCTCCTCCCAGCGTCAGCACCAGGCCTTCAGTATCCTCAAGCCCTCCTGCAGACATCTTGCCCAGCCCTTAGTTCACTCATGGGGCCCTTTTTTTCTGTTCAGATTGAGGACATGAGGTTCCCAGACCAGCCCCATGTCCCTGCTCTGCCCCATAGGTCCAGTTTGCCTGCCCATCTACCTGAGCATGAGGGCAGCTTGGAGCTTGTGGGGAAGAAGGAGCAGGGACAGGAGGAGCTCCAGGCAACTGGTCACTTCTCCACTTGACATCCCCAACACCTTAGGAGACTACAGGGCTGAACCATGGGGCCTGACCCTGATTTCACTACTTAGAATAAACTATAGCTCAGAGAAAGGCGAGTAGGTTCACTTGTGGGACATCTGAACTCAAACAGTGGGCAAATTACCCCAGGAAGTGGGGTCATGTTATGAATGTGTGATTTCAGGGCCCTGTGAGGCAGACACCTATGCCATTGAGGGGTGAGATGAAAGGGCCTTGACTCAAGGGTCAGCTCTGCACCTGACTTGCTATGTGATCCCAAGTGATATCCACCCTAGAGAGGTTTCAGTTTCTTATGTGTTGAATAGGGATCAAGCCTGGGGCATGGAATCCTGGGAATTTTGCAAACTGGTTGAACTTCCACATCATCTAGACCAACAGAATCAGACTCGGGTAGGAATCCAGAAATCTTAACTGTGTTTTTAAGAAACTCACTTACCATTCTAACATAGCAGCCAGCACCTGTCTGCAGGCCTTGAGTCTCAATTTGGTCCCTAGTTTGCTATGTGGATGTGAGTAAGTCATCGTCTCTGTTTCCTCATCTGTCCTCTGTCCTTCCCCTAGCTGAACCTCTGCACAGCTCGGGGAAGATGTGAGCCTGGATAGCACAAGTTCAGCACCTATGCAAGGGCCTTGCTCCTGCCAGCCTGGATCTGCTCCCTCTCTGGCTTCCCTGTCTGCACAATCAGCTCCCCTAGATCCACAATGGGTGTGAAATTGTGCCTGATGCTCTCACTTGCCTCAGAGGAAAGAGAGCCCAGGACAATCAGCAGGAAGTTCTGTGCATTATCCACCCCTGATCTCTCATTTGCTTCCTAATATGGATTCCAGAGGGTTCTGCATTTGGAGAAGGGAAGGAGAGTAGGGAACTCTGAGCCAGGGACCAAGATGGCTCTGACTGAAAGAGCCCTGAGGAAGCTTCTGGGCTTTGATCCCCTAGTTCCAAGCAGAGACCACACCAATGGAGCATTAATTACAGCCCTTCCAAACACACGCCCTTCTTGCACTCCTGTTAAGCCCAAGTGATCTTGAATTTTTGGTTTCTTTTCAGTTTAGCTCTGACTTGCTGGAGGTGGGAAAAAGTTGCCACAAGTAAAGCCTGTCCATTCTTCTCCAGGGTCTTGCAGGGCTGGCCAGCTGGGCTGAGCAGACAGTACAAACTTTATAATTCTCAAAAGGCCTAGGGCAATTCTTACTAAGTAGTTAATCCTGTGGCCTAGGGGCCCTTTAGGCAGCTGGAGAGAGCTCACATTGTTTGGATATCTAGCCATGCTCCCCCGAGAGCGAATAGTCCAGCTGGATCATAGTGTCTGGAACCAGGTTTATAGAGCTGCTCTGGGCCCCACTTTTGACAAGGTGGTTATGTTAGATGAGGCAGCTGGGACATAGTGGTGCTAGGACACTTTCTCGAGGTCACCCAGCAAATTAGCGGCAGAAGGCAGGCTGGGGGCCAGGTCTCTGGTCTACTGGGGCTAAGCCATGGCTATTCTTATCCATTGAGTCTCTGTGTAGGCTTGAGGAAAATGACCATTTGGAGAAATGAGCAGGGCTCCCAAAGCCTTCAGAGTTTTCTTCTGTATTACTCCTTTAGAAACCAAATAGTAGCAGCAGCAAAAGCTTCTGGGGCTCTTGATTGGCCTCCTCTTTGAGTCAAAGGCCAGTATTACTTAGGGTGGACCAGTGGTGGCTGGCATGATTGGCAAGGTCACTGGGGGCTTGGCCAGTGACCAGATAGGCAGCATGGGTTGGATTCTGAGGCGCCAATGGCTGTTTCTGCCTCCTTATTTTCATTGGCTGCCACTCAGCAAGGTTGGAGTGACACTGCTAACTCACTAGAAGGTCCTATTAGCCAGAAATTTATACACTGATGCGTAACCATGGCAACCTGATGTTGTACTCCCAACAGGGCCAGGCTTATCAGACAATATGCAAAGTCTTCATCCTGGACACATGTCATGACACCCAATCATAGGGTGTCCAGCGAGGGGCAGTGATGTGTGTACAGGTGTGAGCATGTGTCCCTGTGTATGCATGTGTGCATGCAGGCATATGTGCCCACAGGTTTGCTCATGTGTGCAGGTGTGTAAACACACGTGTGTTTCTGTGCTTGCCTGTGCAGGCATGTGTGCTCTTTTACATGGTGGCATAGCAGATGGACAAGCTTTAACTCTTGGGGAGTGGAAGGGGTGTCAGAGGAAAGAGAAGCTGCAAAGGACTATTGTGGTCACAGACTATTTCCTTGGTCTCTGCAAATGGTAACTTGGTCTAGATGCCATCTGTGCAGGCTGGGAAGGTCTGAGAGTCAGACTGTAGGAGTGATGCTGCCCCCCCCCCCATGCCAGTCAGAGCTGGGAGAGGTACTAAACTGCATCCCGCAATGGCAAGCTCTCTGCTAATCCCTGTACAGGCAGCACTTCATTTCATCCTCACAACACCCTACAGCATAAATGCTATCCATCTCCATTTTACAGGTGAGAAAACAAATTTAGAGAGGTTAAAGGAGGCCCCAGGTCTAGTAAACTCAGCAGCCAGCATTTCTATTCAGGTCTATTTGAATCTGAAGCCTGAACACTTAAATAGTACTTCATACTACCTTGTCAGCAATTATATGCTAAGAGCAGTGCATGAACTGCTCTCTGGGAAAGGGCCTAAAGAGCAGGAATGCCTTACAGAAAGGTAACAGTCCTGATATGGGTGACACTAGGCAGGAAGGCCTGGGAGGCCTTTGCAGGCTCTTTTCTGGGTTCTTAAGGTCCTGCTGACCCATCCAGCAGAGTTGAGCTGAAAGCTGAAGCAGCCCAGCTGGCAGGGAGGCCGTGGATAGTGGCCGAGTTCCTGAGGCTTAGCTGCTCAGATTCAGGACAGGATGGGGCTCCCTGTCCAGAGCAGTCCCATGAGCCTGGGAATCTCTTGGCAGAAAGGAGCATGACCCCACTGCCTCTCCTACCTGGCCCACAACTCCACATGGCTTCTCTGCCTTCACCAGAGGCCCCACCTTACAATCCTCCATGAGGGGCTGAACATGACTCTAAAATTCTTTCAGAGCCTGGGTTCTAGAGAATTCTGTTGGGTCATACATCCTGTCCACCATCTCTGTCCTTATCATCATAGTCTTCCTCTATGGTCTCAAATAATAGGGGCCTAGTGAGAGCACTGTCTTCCATACTCTATTAAGATAGTTGGCTGTCTGGGCTGACCAGTCCCCACCCCTGGAAGCCTCTACACTCCTGCTAGGTTAGGGTGGGGAGTAATTTCTGGGCTTTTGTGCTGTGATCTGAGGACAGCTGGGAAAAGCTCATTTCTCCACTCTGAGACCCAAGCCTCCACCTCCTCTTCTGTGAGGGATACCTAAATTATCCCCTGGGCCCCACCTCTGGCATTTCCTGAGTTCTACCTCCTAACATCCAGGTATGATGTGGACCCTCTGGTTCCTAACTCCTCATGGGTCCCAACTGTCCTCCTTGGAGAGAAGGAGGTAGAGAGTGGGCTAGGCAGTGCCCCAGCTTTTCTGCCGGATGGGTGACAAGGAGCAGGCCTTGCTGGCCAACAGACCACCGGGCTTCAAAGGGAACTATGGCTTTTTGCTCTCCTCTACCTCCACCTGGTGGTACTTTGTGGAACTACTCAAATAAAACACTCCACAAAAAAAAAAAGAAAAAAACCAAAAAAAAAACCAAAAAAAAAAAAAAAAACACTCCACAATTAGGGCTGCATCCTTGGGCAACAGGGCTCACTTTTTTTTTTTTTTTCCCTTAGTGAACTGTGTAAACCAGAAAGTTTCAACCACAGGAACAAAAGAAGAAAAAATCCCAGATGAGGATTCAGACCAGTGAGATCCTGAAGAGAGTCACCAATTATCCCTGAGTCCTCATTTCCTCGTCTTTCAGTATCTGCAACTCCCCACCCCCACCCCATCCTATAGTCACATAAATGTCTCTGGCATCCATGGAAACCATTGCTTTGGGTCCTGTTCTCCCTCAATCCCTTTTCCTCCCCTCCCCCACCACCAGTTTCCAAACCTGAAAACAAACAAACTCTGGCCAGATTGGAAGACAGGTTTTCTGAGAACTTTTTTTCTCTCTCTCAAAACACACCAGCACGCACAGGCATACACTCACTGCCCGGCCCCATCAGCAGCTGGCACCCTCAAACAGCCTTCAGAGGCAGGTGAAGGTTCTGCAAATGCTTCTTCCCCTCTGGCCAGGCTGCCTGACCCCAGAAGCTGGGAAGAGGCCTGAGCGTGGCCCTGGCTGCTGCAGAGAGAACTCAGCATTACTGTGCCCAGGTGGTCCAGCTGACCTATGGAGGTGGGGGTGCCAGGGGGTGTATTGGTCTCCTCTGCACAGGCTTCTGGTGAGCACTGAGGACCGAGAGGAGATGAGGACACCTCCCCACTTCCCTCCCCAGTTTTGCTAAGCAAGGCCCCATCCCTCCCACAGGGGGAGACTGTCAGTCACCAGGGAAGAGAAGAAATAGAAGAAAGAGACATACTGGAGAAGTTGACCATTGCGAACTGCTGACACCTGTCCCCGGTGTATCCCACAGGACACCTACCAAAAGAAAGAAAACCAGAAAGAGAGAGCCAGGATAGCAAGACATAGGCATTGCAACACCCCGGCACGGGCTCCTGCCAATGCCAGCTGGGTTCCTTGCCACCGTTACCATTTGTACTGGCCTTGCCACTCTGCCCCTTACCTGCAGCCCTGAACTTTAAACCCAAGGATTAGGCCAAAAATGAAAAACAAAGCAAAACAAAACAAAACAAAACAAAAGAACTAACAAACCAAAATACAAAAAAGAAAAGAGAAACAAAACAAAACAGCCAAAGATCAAAACAACCAACACCCCTGGCCCTATGTCCTACATTGGGGAGACTGCACCCGGAAGCTTTCTAAGGAGGAGGGACTTGTGTTTGTATCTTCAAACATACTTTGCTTAGGATCTGGCATGTACAATCGCAAAGGCAGTTTCTCCAAACATCTCTGTCCGAAGAATCCGTTTGGACATCTGGAGAAGGAAAAGGGGAAAAATCACAGAACAAACTGGCATCATCCACGAGGCTAAGGTTAGAAATCAAAGTGCACAGTGATGAATGAGAAAAACCAAGTCAGGCACTTGGGGTCACACTTGTAGCTGAAGGGGCTGGAGTTGGGGCTGGGTGGAGGGCTCGGAAATCTTCTTAAACATCTCTCTAATAGATGTGGCTCCATGGGTGGTGGGGAAGGTGGGGTGGGGCAGGGAGGAGGATGATTCAGGGAAGTGGGGTGGGGGAAGATGGGAAGTCCTACTGGCCATTGAGATTTTCTTTCTTACCTGCCTGTGCCCCATGAAGCCAGAGCTATAGCCCTTTGGTGCCAGGCAGTCAGCTGGCAGGGTGCTGGGAGCCTTGAGGAATACCAAATTCTTGCCAAGCCCTACCAAAGGGTTCTATCCCTGGCCCTGGGCAGGTTTTCTCCTCCATGAAATAACCCCCAGAAAGCTCAAAGGAGAACTCTGGATTGGTGTTCCTAGCCTGTGTGTCCGTGACACCTAGGAGATGTTTTATCTATTCTTTCAAAGAGGGTTCTGTGGCCAAATAAGTTTAGGAAATCCATTCCCAGGGCTTCTTGTAGAGTTGTAGTATATATTATTAGCATATGAAAAGCTCAAAAAAGTTTTATAGGAGAAAACAGCTGAACTTTCCAGTACATCCTAAGTGTATTTGACCATGGAAGCTGTTTTTGATGAATCTTTGTAGGATATGGTTTGAGAAAGCTTTCCTAGAGCAATATTATGTGGGAAAAGCTTAGTAGGGAAAGGGGAAAGGTCAGCATCCCAAAGCTGGCCTTCCTGACACTAGGTGCAGGGACTCTTAGATGGTAAGAATCACAATGAGGGTTATAGCAGGCTCACTGGGGCACCCTGGAAGTCTGTTGCAATTTAGGGGCCTACTGGCAGCCAGCCTGGGAAACCCTGCCCTTTCCTGGTGACCTGCTTCTCCACTGCCTGACTGCCCTGGATCTCATCCTCCCATCCTGCCTTGCTTGCCTGCTCTCATCTCCCTGACCTTGTCATTACCCCCAAGATACATTTCCTTCTGCTCTCTGGGTGCCACCTCTCTCCTTAGGTAAATCTCAGTCTTGCAGATTTCTGGGAGAAATGCCTGGCCCTGTACCCTCTTCTGAACCCCAGTAAGGCCAGTGGCCTAAGAAAAAACTTACAGACAGGGCAGACTGACCCCTTCCTACCATCTCCCTGCTTAGAGATGCTTCTACATTGCCTCTGCCTCTTCTTCCTTAGGAAACTAGGTAAGGCCATCACCAGAGTTCCCTTCAGTAATAGGTTACTGTTCAACAAAAATTAATCTAAACTTCCTCCAGAGGTAAGTGTTCTCTACCTGGTAGGATTCCAGTATGTACCAACCATCAGTCAGCTCTTGGGCATCTAGTGGGTGGTGGATACTTATGAAAACCCTGTAGCCTCAGATCTAGAGGAGTGGGGAATGGGAGTAGTGGATGAGCAGAGAGTTGGGTTTTTTTTTTTTTTTTTTTGAG